TTTTGAACATTATTCATTACCATTTTAATGTAGTCGAATAGTTTTGCCATACAATTACGTTAACATGCTAAGCTCAGCTGAAGTTTAGCTAAACTAAAGATTGGCTCTGCTTCTGCATATTCATTTGCTTTTAAGTTTTTCAATTTAAAATGTAAATAGCGGGCAATTAGCTTGAAAACATGCCTGGTTGCGGTCTGAAAATGTTATGCCCATGCACAGACACACACACAGCTCGCACACACATAGACTTTAGCGAGGCAGTTTTTCCCGTCTGTCACCTGGCATCAATGCCCCAATGGAGGCGACGCCGCCATTGCCGCCAGCGTTTGGCCACTGCCACCGAACAATGCAGCCAACCGAGCAGCAGCAGCAGCGCAGCGGCAGTGGCAGGTGAGGCAGCTGTGTGTGTGTGTGTGTGTTGAGCCAGCATTGTGCCTTTTGAGCGGCGCATTGTTGGCCATTTTTTCTCTTTTTTTTTTTAGCAGCAGCAGCAGCAGTTGCATTGTTGTAGTCGACTTGTTGCCGTGTTGCCTGCTGCCGTGACGCAGCCACTTGTCGTCCATTCGCCAGTTGCCTTGTAATGAGTTTGGCATTTTACTTTATTTATTTGCCCAGTGCTTTGTTCACGGCGCGCAACGCATGGCCCGATCCGAGAGAAAAAAGCGCATTTAAAATTAAAATTAAATAATGATTTAAGTGCGCCGCGAGGCTTTGTCCGTTTGCCAGCAGATGCAGCCAAGAGTTAGAGCTGACATCCGTTGCACTCGACTGAAGTATTTAAGAATGTATTTAATAAAACGCATTTGAGTAAAAAGTAATCAGCATTAATTATTTTCTTGTCAATTATTATGGCGTTATTTAAATACAGTTTAAAGAAAACTTTAAGGAAATTTTTTTTAGCCAGAAGACTAGCTCGTTCTCTCTTTCTCTGCAAGTTTTCTATTGAAAGTCTAAGTATTTCTGCAGTTAAGTTATATTTATTATTCAACTTTGCCTGTTTCTAATGTTTTATATCAAGTTAAGGCTAAAAATATTTAAAACATAATATGCGCTTACCTTGCTTACCTTCGACAGCCATGTTATGGAAGAGACTCTCTTATTTGCTACTGTTTGCAACTCTTGCTGAGCTGTTGAAAATTCAATTGTTGCATATTTTGCTTTTACTTTGAAAACTTAACTCATTTCCTGGTTACACTCAATTTGTGTACAAAATATTTGGCACCTGTTAAGTCGTTTGAAATCGAGGCTCTCTGCATACATAGTTTCATGCCATTGAGCAAACATGCATAACAATGGAAGCTGACTTCATTCTCTTAGCAAGTGCTCGAAGCGTTGATGATCGAACTCGAATGCTCTTTAAATATAAGAAATAAATTTTACTTTTACTTTATGTTAATGCGAATTGTTCAGAATGTTCAGATAATGTAAGCTATCATATATATTTTCTTAAGATTTTAATAAGAATATTCGTATAAGTTTTTGCTTACGATCAAGTCAAGATTTCAAGCCATAAAATCTGTAAACATGTTCAACAATAGTTCATTAAATTGTGCCTAAAGCTTGCCCTAGCTTTTACTCTTAAAGACCGATGCATTGCTCTATTATCACATCTATTTATAAAAGTCAAACTCAGAGCTTGAAAATATTTGATCTTCAAATTTGATTAAGAGACATTCCAGTTGTGAAACAACAGCAAAACGATTTTTGGACTAAATTATAGAGAACTCTATTGCACTACGAATAGCTGACATATATAGAAAGAGAGGGGGAGAGAGCGAACCCGAGAGCTGAACAGCTGAAGCGTTGTTATTGCTGCTGTTGTTGTTGGTGGCAAAAGGCAGAAATCAAATTACAATTTCAATATGCGATGCGTACAAATGTCTGTTGGTGGCAGTTTGGCTTTCAATGTGAACATGAAGTTTCAAGTTGATGTTTAGAATTTGTGCGGGTGTGCCTGTGTGTGTGTGTGCGGGTACATTTTGATTTGAGCCCACAAAATGGATTTCTTGCTGCGTGTCTGTGTCTGTGTGTGTGGCTGTCACTTAATGGAATTTATCACATTTTAACTGTGTGACAGAAACGACAACGTCAGCAGTGGCAGCAGTGGCAGCAGCAGCAGCACTGGGTCCTGGTTGTATCCTGGTTGAAGGATACTAGTCCAGCTGCTGTTGATGCTGCTGTGTCCTGTGTGCTGTCATTTGCTTGGTTTGTCAGGCATGCATTTGAAATGTTATACAATATGCAAGTGCAAGAGCTTCGCATATTGAACGCTTCCAAGTGTCACAGTCATTGATTCAAACAATAAATAATGCAAAACCGTACAACAACAACAAGTGTGGCCTTTATTTATTCAACTGCAGCTAGCACACATAACACGGCTCATCAATTAAGTGCCCACTCACTCATTGGGCGGCTATTAAGCAAATGTAAATGCAGCTCAACTATCAAGAACGGCCGCTCGGGAGCTGAAACTTTGGCTCAGCTTAACGACTGCGACAACGATTATTAAATTAAAACGTGCAAGCAAACTTTTGATAAAACTCAAAAAGTTTCCGCCTTTTCTCTTTCTTTTATATAATTCGTAATTTTTTTTTTTTTTGGAATTTTTCTCTGCTTGGCATAATTTATGGCTAGAGGCAAAAATCTGCTGCAGCAAATTTGTCACATGGGATAAATAATATGAAGAAACTTGCTCAACTTTTTACACAGCTGAAAGCTACAACTACAATTGCGCTACTGCTAAGGGATTTGGCCACAGTGCCATAGCTGCAGATTACTCATACGCCATGTGCGCTGTTGCTGCTGCTGCTGCCGCTTCCGAGGGAGCATTCAAAATGTATGAAAAGTGCGACCAGGCCAGCGTGAAATTAATCGTTAGCACTTTAAGTGGGTCGCCATTTCTACTTCAACTACTTCTGCTACTTCTTCTTCTTCTAGTAGTGTTGGGCAAGTGCATAGAATGCATACTAAACAGTGTTGTATAACGCGAGGGTGAGACAAGTAAGCTATGAGTTGCGAGAAAACAAATTGATTGGCATGAATTGGCTTTTGTTTGGGGCAAAAGGTGAGTCTTTTCTGTAGCTAATATTTTGGTTTAACTAATATATATATTTTCAAACATACATCAATATTTACATAAGGTATTTTAGTGTTTATAAATATTACAAATTATATATATAAATGTTATAAATTTTAAAAATGAAAAATTTTTTATATTTTTATTTTTAACAAAATATTTATATTTTTCAAAATATTTTTTTAGTTTTAATTATTTTATTTTATTTTTTTTAATAACACAATTTTTAATAAAGTTCGTAGTATTTAAGATTTTTAAACTAAATTTCAAAATAAAATATAGAAAAATAAATATATAGAGAATTTATTTTATGTTTAGCTTAACTTCGAACTGTTTGGTAATCTCTTAAGAATTTTGTATTGAGTAATACATTTAATGTAAATATTAAATACATTTACATATATTTAATTTCTGTATTTAAAATAGATTTTTATTATTAGTAAAAAATAAAAGGGAGTTACAAAATGCATATTTCATGCTTAAATATATTGCATAAATTTCACTATAAATTCCGCCAGTCTTATTTTAACTTCCTAAAATGTTCTCAGCTAAACCAAGTCAAGTTAATATTTGACCCACATAAATAGAGCTTAAAATTTAGTTCGCAAATTGCTTGAAAAGTTTCTTTAGACAGCCTTCACTTAGTTATTGGCTTTATATTGCATTTTAATGGACTGGCAGCTTGTACAAGTATGTAGCACATGAGCTGCCTTTTGGCCTTATCATTGAGCCAAAGCAGCCCACTAAATATGTCAAAATAAAGGCAAATTTATACACAAACTGATAAGCAAAATCAAGAAGTAAAGAACAAGAGCCAAATACTTCTAAAAAAATTGAGAAGAAGAAGAAGAGGAAGACTTTGTTTTGGCTGGCTGGCGGCAATGTTGCAACAATTGCTATCTTGACATTGTCATCTCGGAGAGCTGGGAAATTGCCATTGAAATTGGCCCCAGTCTTGAGAGTTGACTGTTTGTTGTTGCTCTTGGCACGCCTATCAGTGGAATTGAATCAAATTACCTTGTAATCTTAACCTTAAGGTTATTTGCCGTTTGCCACAAAACGCTTTGTGCCCTGCGTTTAGTTACTATTTGAGTTGGGCCAGACCCTTAGCTCTAAGCCAACTTGACTCTCGCATTACACAGACTCTTATGTTGCACCTTTAACACTTGTTTCGCAGTGGTTGTGAGGCAGGGAGCGAGTTGGCGGAAATATAAATGGAAATCTAGCATTACGGCGTATCATGATTGCAAAGTTTAAGTGACTTTTCTGCGACTGCAAAGCGATAGCTGCGCTGCATAGCTGTTGAAGCACTTTGAAAATGTAGCAAGTCAATCAATGTTGTTGTTGTTGGGGGTAGCTGGGTGTTAGGTAGAGTTTTGCGTCAGCTTTCTAGCTAAGTAAAAGTTAGTTAAATTTCGATTAGGCACTGGTACCTCAGCTTTTTCCACTCTCGAGCTGCAAACTGAGACTTTACGAACTGTGAATTCGAGCAAAGTCAAACAGAGCCAAGGTGCAGGCATTTTCTTTATCATTGAGCAATTTTCTGTGCCATTTTTCATTAAGTTTTATCAGCTTAGATAAAAAACTGGAGACTGTCTAAAGGAAGTTCATAGAAGTTCATTGAAAAGCTGATCGCAATTTATTGTAAATTAATGGATAACAGCCATTTTGCGCCTTTCTCGGAGATTCTCAAAACTTGCAACTAATAAAGCAAGCAGCGGCAAGAGATAAGTTTAACAAAATGCTTAATAAATGATAAATGGCTGATAAATTAAATTCGACTCAGCTCGTAGTCCTCAACTTTCTAGCAGATTCTCACTCTGTACAGCATTAGTTTCACCATTTAGAAGCAAATGGCAACCACAGCAAAATACTAATTTTATTACATAGATATTTTACAGTTGAATATATGTTATTGATGTTTATAGTACAGGAACCCTACACCAAATTTTTGGAAACGTGCTCTAGTGCTTCACTCACTTATATCGTACAGCATCTTCATCAGCTCCGGCACATAGTCATCCCACTTGGATTGAAATACATTGCCGGCGCAGGGGACGTTCATGTCGTATTTCCTTGTGAATTTCTCCAAATCAAAATTGCTGTGATCCTCGGCGCTCTTCAGCTCCATTTTCTTCTCCTCAAAGTCCAGTTTGTCCGACTGCTTGTAGACGAGCGCCACGTAGCGCAAGAGGCCGCTGTCCTTGGGCGGCATCGGACCAAAGTATTCGGATAGCGGTTGACCCTTAGCCACATCCAAGCCGGGCACATTGACCACCAGCCAGTGGAGCCAGGAGCGATAGATGGGATACTCGCGGCTGGGCGCATCGGGACTTAGCATTATGATCGTATAATAGGATTCCGTATCGACATTCCAATCGAGTTTCGGCTGGAATTTGAGCTCTGTAGGCGTGTACGTCTTGCCCTCCTCGATGTCGATGCCGCTCTCAAAGCGCAGCTGAAATGCAAAGCAGCATTCAGTTGCCATTCTGCGTGACATATGCGACATACCTTTAGCAGCTCCTGCGGCGGCTCCTTGAGCACATCGGGTATCACAGCCAGCTCCTTCATAATGCGACGCACATTCAGCTCCTCCTCCTCCGCCCAACCCATGCACAGCACGCACAACAAACAGACAACAAACAGGGCACACATTGCAAGCGCTCTCGACTCGTCAAGCGGAGCGCACAGCTTTTATAGTCCGCGAATCGATATGGCTTGCCGCTAATCGTCGACTCAAATTGTCAGCGCAAATATAATTAAGAAAATTGAGCGAGCAATTTGCCATAATTTGTGAAACTTGTGCAAATATTTGCATTTATATATCCATAGATATATGTTTCATACTTTATGGAACGATGCGGCAATTTGTATAATGTGAGTCGCTTTTGTTGCTTAACAAATTAAATTAAATTGACGCTTTGATCATGATATGGCAGGAAATAGGAAATAATATCTGTAAAATGCTTTTGATTAGCATTGCGCATGATTCCCGAAATCTGATTATACTTGAATGCATATTGTGTTCAAATATGTTGCATATCAATTTTATAGATTTTTAAAAGCATATATAGAATATTCTTTCAAAATGTTGTTGAAATAATAATTTGAACTTAGGCATTACTCCGTGAGCTGATGAAAAACTGATGAAGCGCAAAATTTAATAATGAAAAGAGGAAAAATATTACTGAAAATTACTTTATTGTTTTTTTTATATATTTAAATATTTTTGTGTCCTCGATAAACTATTTTATGGAGCTACTAGCTTGAACATTAATAATCTTAAAAAATATAATAAATAAAGCATTTTATAATTAATATAAATATTATTAATAATATAGAATAATAAAATATATAATAATTAATTTAATAAGCAAGTTAATAAGAATCAAGGCAATGCATTATATTTTTATTAAATTTTTGTATACCCAACTTAAGCAAGTTTCTCGCAGATACAAGGTTAAATCTATTAAAGGAATGCCCATTTGAAATTAAATATTTATTGTAACAATATGCAACTACTTAACCATAATTTTCAACTTTTTTTATGTGCCATTTTATCATTCGTTCAGCCCACTTCACAGTTGTTTCCAAAACTTATTTTCGACAGTTTTAAATTTGTTAAAAAATGCCCGTTTATAGGCAGTAATTTAAATAAGAAATTTGCATTAATTAAAAGAGGTAATCAATTGTGTTTTTTGCCAATTCACAGTGCATGCAAAACTTAAAGAATTTGCATAGCAATTAAAAAAAATTACGAAAAAAGAAAAAAAGATGCCAAGTGATGTAAATAATTTGCAAAAACTATGTGAGCTCTTGCTGATTTTTTTGTTCTTGTAGTTTTGCAGAGCCAAGCAGAAGGCACTAAAAATGCGAGCAAGTCGAGAGGAAAAGAAGAAGAGTCGAGCCAGAGGAACAGTTGATGCGCTCGAGCTGGCAGTCCCAAAGCGAGCGCCAAGCACCGAGCTGTGGCAACATGTGCGTCTAATGTACGCACATTAGCAACACAAATGCAGTCGAGATGAGTGAAGGATACACAGAGAGAAACCGAGAGAGAGAGGGGGTCTGGGGATGAGCTTGGCAGCCAGAAGTCAGAAGCTAGTTGAGCTATGCGAAGCCGGCGCCACTCAAGCAAACGAACGCACTTAATTTATGCAATTTGGTTAACAACGTTAAAATTGTAGACGAGCGCGCGGGCTCGGGTGGCGGCAGCGCAGGCAGTCAGGCGGGCAGGACATAAATCAAAATGGAAACAATAACGCAACAGTGAAGCTCGAGCAGCAGCAGCAGCAGGAGATGAAGCAAGAGTTGGAGCAGTTACGAAAGGAGTAATAAGGATAATGAAGCAGCAACAGCAACAGTAACAGCAGCAGCCGCTGTGGCATGCGTCCTTCTACTGAATGCTGGGCACTTGCCATGCAAACGATGATGAGCACGATAATGATGGCATTTGAATGAGCACACACACCACACACACACACACTTACACATTGATGTCGTAATTTGAGCTCGACGCTTGCCATTTTCTCAATATTTGCGCAAATATTGGCTCATTATTTGGCCTTATTATATATTAATTTGCCTATTAATTATTTTAACGTTTCGATCTCGAGCTCACAGGTTAAAGCGAGCGCGTGCGCGTGTGTGTGACATGTGTGCACAGATTTTTGCACAGCTATTAATATGCCTGCAATTAGCTGGAAATTTCGTTGGCCCAAATTAGTCGGGAATTCATTTAGCTCGACTATTTGTGACAAAATGCTGAGTAGATGAAGTAAGCTGTTTGGGAAAAGAGCTTAGAAATAAAGTAAATTTAGTATGCTAACATTTTTGTATGACAATAAAAAATAATAAGAAGAAATGTAATATATTAAAAAAAATATTAAATATTTTTATTTATTTTAAAAAAGAAATAATAAAATTTTAATTTTTTTTAGATATAAACAGAATCAGTTTTTTTTAAATTATTAATATTTTAATGAAGAGATGTGAGTAAATAAATAATCGAAATATTATTATATAGAAACTTGTTAAGCAGAACTATACTCAAAGATGAGAAAAAAAAATCATTTACGAACCTTAACTGCCTTAGCTCTGTTGTCTTCATACACAATTCTATTCAGTCTCTGTGTCCATAGCTTTTACCAAATTATCCAATGCTGTTCCATTAAATATGAAGCTGCTAACATTATAGATAACGAGACTCGAATGAGGGGGCCATCATACTATGCTTTCGACTTCGTGTCTTTGAACACCAACTCTATCTAGCCTCTCTTCTAAACAGTTCGTAGCAACCCACAGAGCTGATGAGACTTGGTAACTCCAAGTGACTGCTTCTAAATAATATTCTTTGTTTTTAGAACTATGAAGTAAACCAACTTTCTATTATGAAGTGCGCTTCGACAGCCAAGCATAAGTTCAACTAGTTTGTTAAGTCAATGTCTAGCTTAGTCCAGTCGAGTCTGCGCTTCTTATCAAATACGTAAGCCCTGCAGCTGCATTTATCTACATTTTGCTGGCAGCAAACATTTTAATGCCAGTTTACTTTCATATTTACATGCTAATTATCTTATCGTAGCTCACTCTCAAAGACATCCACTATCTATGGCAAATACCACAAGAACTTTGCTTTCCTGCTGCATCCCGCAACTCTCTGTCCACATCACATTTCATTAGCAGCTCCTGGATTTGGCTTTGGTTGCAATCTCAAGCCAAGTAGCTGCCCCAGCTACCGGGCTGCATTATCTAGTTACTTTTACACAAGTTTTGCCAAGATTGCGAGCGAGCTGAATGGGTCTGCGGAGCTGCGGGTGCCTTTAGGAAAGTTTTGCATTGTTGTTGCAGCTGTTGATTTTGTTCCTCTGTGCAGCACTAATTTGCATGACCTTTGGCGCCGGCTCAGAGGCAAGCAGCTAACCAGGTAACCAACTAACCGACCAGTTAGATAGCCCAATGGGGGCCACAACATTTGAATGGCATTTCATTTGCGACGCTTTTCAACGTTAATGCCATGGAAAATGCATAAATTGCGGCACTCAAGTGGAGAACTTGCTGAAAAACAATGACAATTCCCATTGAGCTTGCGATGCTTGGGCTTGCTCTACTCTGCTCTGCTCTGAGTTGTTAGACAGGCTAATTAGCAATTGCCAAGCTTAGCTGCAGCTTATCAGTGCACGCGCTGCACTTAACTGCAATGCCAACTGGGGAAAACTCAATCGCTACAGATTTTTCTACCCCAAAAGCAAAAGGAGACGTGCTCTGCTTAAATAGAGACTAGAAACTGTTGCTGCAGTTGCCTTAAAGCGGGTTTTAACTTAAGAATGCTTTCGACTTGACTCCAAGAAATTTTTTTCTATTTACTTATTGATGCTGGTTTGTTAGTATTAAATATTAAATATAATGTTTAAAGAGACTGAATCTTTATTTGAAACCTACTAACTAATATAGAGATAGCTAACATTGCTAAATGATTGACTTGATAATGTGTGACTAGAACATTTTCTCATGAAGTCTTTAAATTCATCAAATACAAAAATTTTAATAATTAATAAAAATTTGCCTGAAAAAATCTTTCATTCAAATATGGTCAGGTCATTATTTTTATAGCAATTTCAAAGCAGTTTTAAAAAATATGAATGAAATAACTTTGGAAAATAAAGTATACAAAATTTCAAATATAAAAAATAAAGTTAAGTATAGAAAAGCTAAGATCAATTTATAATATATTTTAATCTACTTTTTAAAGCATTTACTTATGCATATTTTAGAGTAAACCAAAACTGAAGAAATGCTCTGTGCGCTCTAATTGACTTGGCTGCAGGCAACCTATACTCTAAGTTAAGAGAATTGTACTCATTCAACACCGAACAGCAGCGGGTGTATTTGCCTTAACGTACATATAAACAGGTACTCGAACTGGAAGCTCTTCAAAAAACTATAGTTTTGGCTTGGAAAGGAACTTTTAGTTATTTTAGTGCAGAATGTGTGAAAATGATAAAAATGCAGCATCATTTCAATTTGGCTGTTGTAACTCTATTGAAACAATGAACTCCCCTGACTGAGTGTAATAAATAAAATATTCATATATTCATATAAGAAATTTATATACTCATTAATATAAATGTGGTGTTTAATAAAAGTAGAAATTTTAATACATACTATAAAACAGATTCATAACCATATTGAATTACCAACAGAATAAATTTTCAATTTAAAATTATTTTTAAAATTTGATACTGAAATAAAAGTAAATAATATTGCAGATTGAATCATAAATTATATTTACTTTTTAAATTAAGATTTTAATTTTTTTATTTACAAGTTACCATGTTTTCTGTGGCATTAAATTACAAAATATAATTTTGAGTAATTATACAAATTATAAAATTAATATTTTAAGTAAATGTATCGAAATTTCCTTTTCATATCTCTCTATAGAATTTTTGCTTTTGAATTTTCATCGCACTCAAATTGTTTCCAAATTAAATACAACATTTCAATCTAAGCTTTTCGCAAAGTTTTGTTCAAGGCTGACTAAAATAACAGTTCCTATGCTCCCGCCCATACCGCAGGCACTTAATTCCACACACTCACACACACACACACAAAGTCACACACATTGCCATTTGGCAATTTTCAGTTGGATTTTGTATGCT